TTGAAGTAAATAGTGTATGGCGTAAATGTATGAAAATGCTGAACACAATTGGGATACTAAATTAAGTAAATGTGGCATTAAGCGTTTACTGAGCTGAAAATAGGAGCACTTTGTTAAATGTCACCGCTGTGCCTGAAGCAATTTAGGAAGACATGTTCATCATACAAAAACATAATAAGCTCCGTTTTCTTCGTCATCGTCATACTTTATAAGTTATAAAAATAAATTAATAAATTAGTACATCTCGTTTCATGTATTACGAGTCAATGCTGCAGTTTTTATTTCTTCTTTTATTGTATTGAAAACTAAAAAATATCAGTTGTTGTATAGAAAAATAATAATAGAATATACATAGCATATAACTTATTATTATTTTTTAATTACAGCAAATGAATCAAAAACAATATAATGAATTATTGATACCACTTGTTTAAAATTAAAAAAAAAAAACATTGTTCATTTGTTCCTTTCTTTTTCTTTTCAATTTCTACTTTGTTTTTTTTTTAAATAATTTATTACTAAATGAACTTCTTACAATAGTACTAGAATGGACGAGGTCTGCTACTGTAAGTGTACCCCACACTTGTGTACATGTATTGCGAGAGGCTTATATGAAACTTCCATACTTTCTTTAACTATGGTAGTACCTTGTACTTTAAAGAATTCTGTGATAGGTTACTTAGTTGTGTGTAGAGCGACAGAGCGACCCCCCCCCCCCCGAGATGGAGTGACGTGGTAAGACATGCAGGAAGTCGATGGATGCAGGTTGCTCAGGACCGTGCTTTGTGGCATTCCTTGGGGGAGGCCTATGTTCAGCAGTGGACTTGTGAAAGGCTGTAATGATGAATGATGTAATGATGACATAGTTCAGTACCAATTTTAATAATTATTTCAATTATATTTATTTGTTAATTAACGAAATGTTATTAAGACATATACACGACAGAAATAAATATTTTTTTTTCTATCCACTCTGATTTGTAAAAGAAAACAACTATGTAGTATAATCATATACCAGTTGTTTTCTTTTACTGTCAACAAGGTTAAATAGATTTATATCACCCTTTTTAGATTTATGCGTGAACTTATTGCAATAAACACTTGTTATTCTTTGAACGCTATTCCTAAATGAATTGAAGAATGATGTCGATGTTATTTTAGAAAATGTAGCAACCGATATAGAAGACATGTAATATAAAGGAGACCCCGCTTGGACAAACGTTGGAGTGAAATATCCCATGCCTACAAGGAGCTCTTGACTTGAATACACTCATATTGTATTCTAATGACAGATGCTGGCATTTATTGTATTGTATTGTATATACAATTGCGGCCAGAAGTCTTGCAAATCATTGTTTCATTTAACCAACTTAGGCTTAGCTATAATAATATTATACATCCGTATTAGGCCTTCACTAGAGGTAGTTAAGAAAATCGAGGTTAAAGAAAAGAAAATGACTCTAACAGTTTTGAATAATAATTGTTTTGTAGTCAACATAACATGTTTAAAGAAATGGTAATATTTATTTAAGCTTGGCTCCTAGAAATCTTTATTTTTATATTGACTGATATAGAACGACACGAGTGTCGTAGTCAAGTAAATGTTTGGTAAGTAAACAAGCAGACGGCTAAACTCAGTGCTGGATGTCTGGCTTTAGACATACTGATTTGCTTTTATTAACAAGTTTTTTTTTTTGAAATACACGTATTGAAGGTATCATTTATATGAAACTTATTAAAATACGTATACTTCCACAGTGTTTATAAAAGACACGTCGTTAAAGAAAAGACGCGTAAATAAATAAATTAAACTGTGAGTTCTAAGAAATTCCAACAACTATATTGAAATTTGTTCAAATATTTAAGGTTTATACATTTTGATTTGCAATTTACAGCAAAAATATTAATTAAAATCAGATAATAATTCGGAAAGATATCGCGTAACATAATGTATATGTTACGGCTAAAAGTCGAAGTGCGGTTACACTTAGTTCTAGCCAGCAAGAACTAAGAAAAAAAAAAGGTTAAATTTAGGTGTACTATTAAATTTGTAAAATACGATAAAATGTAACGTGACCGTAGGTTAAGGTGCTGTTAAGGTGGCCCTTGGGCAGACATTTATTTAATTTATAAATTATGTATCAACCGCAATCGACTACACCTTATATTAGCCGGCTACACCTAAGTGTAACCGCACTTCGGCTATTAGCCGTAACCGAATTGGGATCAATTTGTATGCTGTAGAGCCATGCTGCAGCTGTATTAGTAGTGTAGTTGTATCACGAATGGGGTCGGATCGACCGGAGAAGGACCACGCTCTCACAGAATACCAGCGTAAAATGGCAGCTTGACGCTGCTGTGTTTTGTATGGTGAGTATAGAGAACCAGAGACCCATTTTACTGGAAAAGAGGCATTCCATCTTAGTCCTCACTGTTGGCAACGCATCTGCATTTTGATTATTTATTGAGGATAAATGTAGATGTATATGGGTCACAGCAACCACTTACCATCAGGTGGACTGTGTGCTCGTCTGTCTATCCTATAAAAAAAACCTGCTTGATTGAAGTCGGTGAAATGATTCTTTATATATTTATTATTACATTATAATGGTTTTTCAAATAATCAGGATTATATATGAGACTTGAATACTATTAGAATTTTATATTATTTGTCTTCGATGCTTAATAGTTTAAAAAATTAAAATAATTAAATTAAAATATATGTCTCATTTGAAGACGTATAAGTTTCTAGTGAATTAAACAGTTATTATAAAAATAATATTCCAATTTTGAATAATCGTTTCAATTAATAAATTATTACGTCATTATTATGTCATTAATTTAAGTGTGAGTTGACGTGCCCTCTATAAATAATGAATGATACCAGACTAATAAAATATAATACGAGAGGACGTTGTAAAATTCAATTATGGTATGTGTTATCGATGAATATGAATTCTTTATAGTAGGTACATTACTTCGGGTCGCTAGTAATGTTACAATGTAAATATATCCCACTGTATGTTACAGTTTATCATGTAGAGAAATAATGATCGTGATGATGATTCTCTGTTGTTGATGATGATGATGAGTCGGTAGATACCAAATTTGCAGGAGATATTCTAGTTCCCAAGAGTACCCGCTCGTACCTTTTGGAGTGCAATAGACACAGGATCAGTATCACACAAGCAAACTTTAGATTTGTGTGTTTTTATTTGTTGCTATTGTAAATTACATTATATATTGTTAATTGAATTGTGGGATTAAAACTCAAAGTCACATCACTTGACGTAGTAGCCAATTTGAATATCCGTTATATCATGCTATCGTCCAGAATGTGTATTTTATATTTATTTATTTAAACTTTTATCCATAAATCAAAAATCGTTACATATGGCGGACTTAATGTGTTAAGGAATTCTCTCCCAGTCAACCATTAGGCTAAGCAGAGATAAATATATGGAAGGTAGTGCAGCAAAAGCAAACTAATAATGATAAAAAAAAGTAACGAAGTTCGAACAAACCAGAATATCATGCATCATCATCAGCCCGCAATCTATTGTTAGACATAGGCTTCCCCCTAGCCGAATTACTTAGCCCGGTAATCTCATGTACACGAATAACGAATTTGAAAATATTAAAGTTTGTAAATCAGAGATAGAAAAGGCTACAGATGAAAACCAAAATAGGCAGAAAAATAACTGAGTAGGTAAGTCAAAGAAAATTATTAAGAACAACGAAGTTAAAGTGCTACTGTGCAATAACTATAAGATGGAAAATCTGAAATTGATACAGAGAAGAAAAAAGCCATTAAATGTAAGCATATTACGACAAGCTTACCTAGTTGTAGCTAATCAACTTCCTACTAAGCAGTGGCTCTCTAAAAATAAGCACAAAGAGGTACCTAGGTGCAGCCGACGAATAATTTCGAACCTGTTCAAAACACATTGCCTAAGGTGACAGGTACTATTACTGTCTATACAGACGGACCTATGGTATACTCTTTTCCCGTAATCAGTACGGTAGCGCACTGTACATCTCTAATATGTTGCTGCGTTCGGCTACACCTACTACGCAGTTGTATGTGTTCCTATTGAATTAACCTAAGAAGGCCGATGAGATAATTGAGTAGTTGAAATTTTAACTTTGGATCATTTGCGGTGCGCCCAATTGAGACCTTCATGAGGGAAGAACTTTGACCGAAGGGTACCGTGTGGTGACGTTTTCGCGGAATGTCACGTGATACCACGTAGATAAACAGGACGCTACAGTGTTTTATTCTAAAATTCTTCCTAGATTATTATTAATTCGTTCCTGCTCACCATACTACGAGACAACCTTTGATAATATTAATTAAATTCATAGTAGAAAGAAGAAGGGAAAACTTCATCAAACAGAATTTAAAACCTGGTTCCATACATAATATTTGATTACATGATGTGACAACAAACATTAAAAATTCATAAAATGATATTAACACGCCCCTTATCGTTTGCGAGCATGAGTAGTTGTCAATAATATAATCAATATTCGATAAAAATCTGATTCCAATTTTGTTGGCACAAATAATCACAGTAAGCTCACGCAAAGCTTTATGTGATTTGTTTTTATTCACAGTATTCATTTAAACCTACTAAAGAATTACCACCCGGCACTTTAAATAATTAAAGGAACTACAAATGTCTTTTGAACGTATTAGTAAATTGACTGAAAGCAAGTAAGTTCAGAGGTTACATTAATCAATTTCATATTGGAATTCGTTTTATAAGAGACACTGTAGAAGTTGTATTTTTGTCTCGATATAAAAATTATTAAGATTAAGTTAATTATAAAACGTAACAATGTATTAGTGTTATATAAAAGTTCGGAATAACAATAATATTTTTATTTTGTAATTTATTGTGTACAGAATAAACCATACATAAATAAAACAAGAAAATCTAAAAGTGCCACAGCTCAATAACCCTTGAAAATAAATCTGATTTTCTTTGATTAAAATTATGAACGGGCAAAAAATGAGAAAGAATATTCCCAAAAACAAAATTATATCTTTCTGGACTCCTGTAAATAGTAAGTATTATAAGTATAGTTTTGAAACAACAAAATTATATCATCATCATTATCGCCATCATTATCCCTCAGAAGTCCACTGTTGAACATAGTCCTCCCCCAAGGAAAGTCACAAAATATGATTCTGTGCCACGTGGATCCATCCACTTTCTGCATGTCTTATCAGATCGTCACTCCTTCTACCCATCAGCATATCAGTCCTCCAATCCGTCCATAACAGCCTATAAACGTTCACTGCTGAACATAGGCCACTCCCATAAATTGCCTCATAGGCAGGATTTTTCCATAGTTGCCACGCTTGGCTGGCAGCTTGGCAACCGGGGTTTATTTGAGTTCTTTTCAGGGAGATACTGCTGCCCATCTTTTGTTTTAGTTTCTCTATGTCGCCTATTACGACACCCACGGAACGTAATGGGGTAGTGGATATTCTTACACCGTCGCTATACCTAAAGCATATCGGTACGATGCTGATATTGGAAAACCTTATAATCCCACCGGTTGTCGATAGCACAGGTCTCCATAATATATTGAGATCACAATTAAAAAGTCAATGATCTAATTTATGAAAAAAAGATCTTCGTCAGAAGGCGTCGTAAGCAAGCACCTTATTAAGTTTGGGTGACGTCGAATTGGTATTATCACTATAAAATGTAACTCAATAAACTTTGTGGACAATGAAAATTCTGACATCTTACCATTACCACAGATCAAAAAGGAATAGAAAAATATATAAACATAAATCCGTAAAGCATTATATCGTTCTGAAGAACGCGAGTAAAAGTTACAAAATTCAAGAGTCACGTTTCATGTCTTTAAATATAGAACTAAGCCGTATGTTGCCCCTCTTTTCTTTTGTTGCAAATCCAATTATTATTATTGAAAGTGTTATAGTTCTAGAAGTTCTAGAAAATTTACCCCTATGGTTTAACTTGATAATCAATATCGTTACAGGAAACAAAATAAATGTAGCCGAAGTTAAATCAAAGCTATCTCCTAATACATTTCAAGAAACACTACGGGTAACGTTGATTATTGGACAAGCATTCTCCTTACTTCCTGTTAATGGAATTATGAGTAAAATAGCTACCAAAGTTCGGTAAGCAGTTTTAACCCCTACATAATCATTATAATTATAACTACAGCTCTTATTAAGTCCACTGCTGAACATAGGCCTCCCAAGGAAATAAAACGCGGTCCAGAGCCACAGACATCCATCGAGTTCCTGCATTTTTTACCAGTTCGTAACGCCATCTATAAGATATCATATAAATCTTATATCCACATTCCTCAGTAACAAACACATCCCTCTAGCAAATGCTTACCAATTTTAATTGTTAAGGGTCTACTATAACTTACTTTGCAAACAAGTGCAGTATGGGACGATTCTTGTTGGCCACTTCAAAACTTCGATTTCGGTCTCCAAAAAGAGCCGAGCATTATCTTAAATTAGAAGAAAGTTATAACTCTTTATGATTATATCTTACATATCTATGTGACTAAAATAAGTCTACAAGTTTCCTAATACACACATTCATAAAATTAAACCAGCCGAAAGAACATTTCAATTTTTATTGGAAACAAAGAACGATTGAAATTCTTATTTCAAATAAAAATAACACAGTAGAAGTAGTTAATAATGATATGAATTTAAATAAAACGAATTTTACTGATTTTATCGCGTATATTAACTTATTTTATATTCCCAAAGTTTCGAGCACTTTACAGCACCCATGGTCACGGTGGGGACTGACGTGTATGACGTCCCAATGTCATAGTTAAGCACGGCTACCTCCAGATTAAAAATTATTAATTTTTTTTTCCGATCTACGCAGTATGATCTTATAGTATCTTGTAGTCTTGCAGTTGTATGCTTGGGTTGGGATTTAATTTTATTAATTATGGGATCCCAAGCAGATGGGAGCACCCAGCCATCTCCTCTATTGAAATTAGGTAGTTTTTTGTATTCAATAGCCTCGCAAATCATCCTTGGAAGGAAGGTCCTTTGGTGAGGATTTATGGTCTATCAAATCTAATGTTGTGACGGGGGCGATCCTGTACGTGTTCACAGACTGCAGACTTCCCGGTATGTCGATTCTTCACATCAGCTATGTGTTAAATGAGGGTTTTTATGGATCTTTTGGTTTGTCCTATATAAGAGAAACCACATTCACAATCAAGCTTGTACACTCCTGCATCTTGCAGAGGGACATTACAATTGGCTGGTGGTAAAAACTGACTAATCTTCTTCGGCGGCTTGAAGTATGTTTTAATGGAAGCACGTTTCAAGATGTAGCCAATCTTTTCAGTGACACCTCTGACATAGGGCAGTACCTGACACTATGACAGGCACTCGTTCAATGTAACATAGGCGCGGTACTCGAAGCTTATTGTCGTGCAAAACTTGCTTGACGTGTTGGAGCTCGGTGGCCAGGTGTTTACTGTCACATATCCCTCGTGCTCTCTGAAACAAAGATTTACCCACGGTAGCTAATTGTGAAGGATGGTGATGAGAATCACCGTTTAACCATCAATCTGTATGGGTCTTTTTTCTATAGACAGTGTGGCTCAAGGTGTTATCAAGTAAAGTGCTCGAAACGTCGGAAATATAATAAAAGTTAATATACGCGATAAAACCCGTAAAATTAGTTTTATTTAAATGTGTAGTGTTCGCGTAAATATAAAAATTTTTACAACAAACATTAAATATATAAATTATTACATAATTTTTTATTTTTGCCTTCCTCTTAATATGTCCGTGAAATAAACCTACTCGTATGTCTACAAGACTTTTAGGTGAATTCCGAATTATTTATAAATAGCACAAATGACAGCCGTACTATCATCGTCACTGGTATTACTCGATTGATGCATTTGTATTTATGACAAAATTAACAGAAGTCATAGTTATTTCAATTATTATTCAAACTTTACTCAAAAAGCCGGGTAAACCTAGATTTACTAGTTCTTCTGGTGTTCTAGACGAAGACAAGAAAAAGTTAGAAAACCCAGTCTTTTAAAGGCTATTTTAGTAAGTTATGGACAAAATTGCTATCGCAACTCCAGAAGATTCATTTATTTCACCTTAGTAGACTATAGGTTGTACAGTTATGCTGGACATTTTACTTTTTCAATGCAAAAATTAATTAATCCATCTATTCCCTGGGTGGTGTAAAAATCTATTTAAAGAAATTTCAATACCTTGTGGTTTCACGTATATTATAGATGAATTACGCTTAAACTAAGCTTTTTATATCACAAATGAACAGGGTTTTTTAATTGGCTAATTTGTTTTGAATCTTGCGACCGATTGTTTCACCAATTGTCTAATTACTTCGCAATACATATTTTATTTTTTCTTCATAACTCCACATCGTGTTTGCTTGTATGATACGTATTTGCTGCAGGGGTATTGCATACTGGTAACTGTACGCAGCGTCGTGTTGTTAAAGTACATTTTTGTAATATACGAGATGGTATAATGCTATATTTCAGAGGTCACGAAGTCTTTGTCATACATTCGTTCATTACAGCTTATAAACCGTGCTGTGGACCATGTCTACCCGTGAGTGTTGTAAGATGCGACTAAGGGAGTACAGGAGAGGCCAGCAGCGTCTTCCTAATCACAACTATAAACAGCGATTGGCAAATTCATATCCTCTTGCTCACAAGCAATCTATGGGTAGGCCTATGTTTTGTAATGGAATTTGATAGGCTGTAACCGTTACCGTTACCGTTTCCAGCTTATCAATAGTCAACTGCTGTACATACGCCTACCTCATAGATTGCCTTCGAGAAAGAATATTTTCCATAGTTGCTACGATTGGCAGGCAGGTTGTCAACAGCAATTTTTTATTTTTTAGTTGATATAGTGAAGACGCTGCTGCCCTTCTTTTGGTGTGTTTACCTCTGTCGCATCTTAATATTACTATTACTTACCACGGGACGATATGGTCCACCATACGATTTGTAGACTGTAATGAATAAATAAATAAATTGATGCACAGCCTTAAATACTCAGATTGGCGACAGTGAAGTGAACAGTGTCAAACTATGAAACGACATAATATACGGAACGAGCCGTGAAAGCTATACAACGATCCCCAATCTGCTTGTCATAAAAACATATTTTTTTTTAATTTAACACCTTTAATTAAATGCAAACGATTTTAAATGCTTGAATTTGAATGTTACAGATTCGAATGGTCTTCGTGGAAATGTATGTATGCATTCCTGTCATTAATTGGTCAAGTCTTTATGACGATTATGTGTGTAACTAGGGTTACTCATTCTGAAACTACTTTGAGTGTGACAAGTAATACATTTCGTTCTTATAATTTATGATTTAATAATACTGGCACAAAATAATGATAATTTTGATCATTTATTATTTTTCTTTTTAGCACCCATTATTTTCTACTTTACGACCTGCATAACTATGATTACGTTCTTTCGTGTTGCTAGAAACTGGCCTAATCTTGTTCGAAATATATCATTGGTTGAAGAAGTAGATCCAAGCTTTGATCACAGTGTCACATACAGATGTAACATAACTTGCGCAGTTGTATTGTTTTTAGCTTTGGGTATGTTTAATTATAAATTATTTATATCCGAATATGATATTTTTCAGAAAGAGTTATAGAGTAATCTGTCCGCCACTTTTCCGGTGTTGTAATTTAAAATTTTAATCATTTACGTTTCAGTCGAACATATCCTTTCATTATTATCAGCCTTTGCTGGAGCTATGACGTGTTATCCCAATAAAAGCCTTTACGAGGGGTTCGTAACTCATTTTTATCCATGGGTCTTCAAATTCTTGCCATACACGCCATTTTTGGGAATTCTTACGCAGGTAAGATTACATAAAAATAGTGCATATAACTAAAGCGAAATAAATAATAATGCGTTACAGTTGGATTTTCAAACCTCTGAATCCAATTATCAAAATAATAATGACGAGGAGCGTGTTTACCAGAGCAACATGATACATTTATAGAGCTCGTCAACCTGCTTGCCTAGCGAGATGTTTATAGGAAAATCCTCTAGCAGGAAAATCCTCGTAAGCTTATGCTTCACCCCAGCTAACAATTTGTGGGATTTTGGGTTTAGCAACCATTTCGTTTATATATATTTTCATGTATATATATATATATTTTCGTTTACAGATATTAATTACCTAGAGAGACTCACAACACTAATAAGTGGGAGTGGGAAGTAAATTAGTTCATTGTTTTTATTTTTATCTATTCTTATGAACTAAGAACTCGAAGAACCTGTTAGTATGTACGTAGAGAGTAATGTTCGGAACTAATGATCTGATCCTGAAAATTCTTTCACTAATAGGAAGAGCGCTATCTACCTTACATTATGTATGTTTCGTATGTTATAGTCGTCCTATCACTGTTTTGTCAAATGAAATAATTAAAATTTTTTTTTTAATACCGACTTCAATATAAATTATTAAGAATAACTCAAAAAATATTGATCAGACCTTGATCAAATTTATATAGGACTACATGTGAAGGACTAGATTTCAAATAAAAAACAATCATTGAAATCGGTTCACCCAGAAAGTAATTATATATATTTATTTATTAGATATATATATTTATACCGCACATAAAAAATAGAGTCGAATTGAGTATCCCCTCCTGTATGAAGTCGGTAGAAAATACCGCTTAGCACAGCATTATTTGCGCGCAATGTATAGCAAACATAGGCATTTAATGATTATATAATTAATATATTTATGTTTTATATTTTAGCATACATAGCTACTTTTATGTTTAAAAAAAATGTTTTGATTAAGTAATGTTTAGATGATTATTTGAACGATAAAATGTTAATTTCAAATATATTGGTTAATTTGTATTATATCATTTATTATATTTGATTAATTTAAATCGTGTTTTTCTTTCAGTTTCTTCATTTTCAATCGACAATTATCTGGAACTTTTCCGACTTGTTCGTAATCTGTATGAGTTACTACTTGACTTCCCGATTGGAACATGTTAACAAAAAACTTTTAGCGGCTCAAGGAAAGGTACGATATTATTTATGATTCTTAAGTTTAGCACTGTGAATGTAAATAAATAGTCAGTAATTCAGTAGCTGATACTTTTCCTTGAATTTTCTACACACGAATTTAAAGGTTGTTCTCTTTTGTTAACTCTATCAAATTTATTAACCCTGTAGGCATATTAAATAAATGTCAAGTTTATTACATTTTTATTGTGACTCAAATGTTTTTTTTATGGAGTAAGAGTGCAAGCAGTGGAAAAATAAGTGTTGCAGTATTGGTTGCAAATGAAATTGGTTTGACATTTAATCAGATGTAGTACACCATTTTTGCCGACTTTGCTTCTCTACTTTTATGAACATTACCCACGCTTGACAGTCGATGAAGCTACACCACTTTATGATGGTCATACGCTTTACGACGCCGATTCCATATATTTTGAAATTTACTTAAACTTTTAAACATTAACTAAGAACTAACTAATATGTAAAGATCCTATCTATATGGAGGAAGTTTTTGCTAAGCTTAATAAACAGAATAAATCTGTTGTAATATGTGGAGATTTTAATATCAATCTCCTAGAAGCTTCCTCCATCAATATTAAATTTAGATCATTGTTTAAATCATATGGTCTTTTTAATTTATTTATAGAGCCAACGCGTATTTCTCAATCTAGTGCAACATGTATAGATAACATTTTTACAAATGTGAAGCCGTTGCATAAATGTATAATTCAAAAATTAAGTTCTGATCACTGTGGACAAGTAGTTTCGTTACCTTATGTTCACAAAAAGCAAGTAGATGAGAAAGTTGTGTCTGTTCCAGTAAATGCACGTCGCTTGGAGAAATTTAGAAGTAACATAGTGAAAAAACTTCCATCACTTTCATACCAAAATGATCCTAATTTTTTGTATGGAACATTATTTAAGCTTATTTGCAATGAATTTAATAATACTTTTACTTCTAAAACATTCTCCTTGAACAGTCGAAAGTCATTCAATGAATGGGCGACAGTAGGAGTCCATAAGAGCAGGCATAGGTTATATGATCTTTACCATGAAAGGTCATATAATCATAGCGTCGAATTTAGGGAATATGTAAAAAAATATTCAAAAATATTTAAAAGAGTGTGCTCCATAGCCAAGTCTTTGCATTTGAGCAACAAAATTAAGACGGCTTCCAATAAAATTAAAATGACATGGAGTATAATTAATAGCGAAACTGGTAAGATCAACTCTCGCAATTCAAATTACCAGTTAAGTGTTAACAACAAATTAACTGTATCAGATCAGGACGTAGCAATGGTTTTTGAGAAATATTTTACTGATATTCCGATCTTGACCACTAAGTCACTAAATTCTTCTCCTGCCGTCGCCGAATCATTACTTAAACATAATGTAAATGTGTGTACAAAGAATTTTACATTTCATAAAGTGACATCAAAAGATATTGTAAAATATTTTAAAACTATTGATGTTAAGAAAACTGCGGATCTGTGGGGGATTTCCGTTAAAGTTATTGCGTCTATAATAGATACAATCGCGCCTCATTTAGCTATTATTTTTAATACTAGTATCGAATCTGGTGTGTTTCCTGATTTAATGAAGCATAGTAAAGTAATACCTTTATTTAAATCTGGTAGTACATTAGACCCCGCCAATTTTAGACCTATTTCTGTACTACCAACACTTAGTAAGATTTTTGAAAAAATTGTTCTTGATCAAATGTTAAATTTTTTTAATATAAATAATTTACTTCATAAAAATCAATTTGGTTTCACAAGGGGTCGCTCGACAACTGATGCCGGTGTTGAGCTGATTAAATATATCTTTAATGCATGGGAGAATTCACAGGATGCTTTGGGTATATTTTGTGACCTATCCAAGGCCTTCGATTGTGTTCACCATGAAACATTAATCAGGAAACTTCAACACTACGGTGTAAGAAGTGATGCCCTTAAATTAATTATTTCATATTTAAGTAAGAGAACGCAAAAAGTTGTCATTAACAATATGAGCTCTTCCGGATCGATGGTACAAATGGGCGTGCCTCAAGGCTCAATTCTCGGCCCCTTTCTGTTTCTTGTATACATTAATGACTTACCTTACATAGTAGGGGATAACCATGATATAGTATTATTTGCAGATGACACTTCTTTAATTTTCAAATTAAGTCGACAGTTACTAAAATATGACGAAGTAAATAATGCTATATCTAAATTAGTAAATTGGTTCGATGTTAATAATTTGCATTTAAATGGCACTAAAACAAAATGTATGAAATTCGTGACTCCAAATGTCAAACAATTAAATACTAATGTAATTTTAAATGGGGAGAAACTGAGTCTTGTAGATACCACCATTTTTCTTGGAATCACACTAGACGCGAAGCTTCAATGGAGCCCCCATATATCAAAACTAGCAAGCAGACTTAGTTCTGCAGCATATGCTGTAAAAAAGATTAGAAGTCTAACCAGTGTTGAAACAGCTAGACTAGTTTACTTCAGCTACTTCCATAGCATAATGTCGTATGGTATTTTGCTATGGGGACACGCAGCTGACACAGAAATTATATTTGTTTTGCAGAAGAGGGCCATAAGAGCAATTTATGATTTAAAGCCTAAAGAGTCGCTGCGACAAAAATTTAAGGAAATTAATATATTAACTTTGGCCTCTCAATACATTTATGAAAATTTAATGTACGTACACAAAAATAAAAGTAGTTTTATAAAAATAAGTGATATTCATTCTGTAAATACTAGGAACAGACACAAGCTAGTAGTACCAGTTACTCGACTCCATCGAGTCAGTAATTCATTCTTGGGGCGATGTATACGCTTTTACAACAAAATTCCAGAAAATATACAAAGTTTGGCCTGTTCAAAGTTCAAAAACTTTATTAAACTAAGTTTGTATAAAAAGGGTTATTATAATATTAAGGAATTTATGGATGATAATAACCCCTGGAAATGAGGTGATCGCTACCAAGCTATTTCTAATTTGTTGTGTTGTTAATTTGTGTAACATCATGATTGTAAGCTGTTATTTAAAAAAAAAGTCCCGCTGGGTTTCTTGCTGGTTCTTCCCAGGACAGAGGTTTTTTCCGAACCAGTGGTAATCAAACAAAAGAATGACTTTCAATAAGTATTATTTATAATCTATATTGAATAAAAAAGTTTCTGTTTCTGTTTCTGTTTATAGAACTTTTAGGTTGTATAGACTAGGAAACATCATCTGGATTTTACAAGACCTTTTCAGTGATATGCTACTCATTTTTATTCGTACCCATTTTTTCATTATTTGTCACAATTTTTGTTTTATAAAAACAAAACCTGACCTATAACCATCGAGCAGTTTAGACAAATCGATAAATACCTTATTGAATAAAATCAACCCAGCAGTTGGGATGATTCGAATGCATAAGAAACCTCACATATAGATATGCATGAAAAAAATAAACCTGTCTTTGCTGTCGCGTTATTTAATTATAAAAATTATATGTGTCTACGGAAGACCAAAGTTATAAATATGTATTATATGAAAATTATATTGAGTATTTATGAATATTATATGAAAACTAGTACGCCACCATGATTTATGAGTGTTAGAACAAGTGTGAATCAAAAATATAACAGAATGCAAATTACTAATATAATATAATAAATAACCTATTTTACATTTTAATTTTTATAAATCTATGTTATGGGGTCTTTATATCTAGAAGTCCGGTTTAGTTGATATCAATAACTTTTACTGCCACGTAGCAATAGAGCAGCCACTGTTTTTTTTTCTGATTTTTGCTGTCTGTTCTGTAGCCATTTATGTTTGAAGTTGGCTGCTATAGCTAATAAATATAGACTGTTAACTCGTTAGTCATTTTAATAAAAATAAAAATCAGCCAAGTCCGTGTCGGGCAACGCAGAGTGTATAAGTAAGGAAGCCCCAAATAGGAATAGGACGAGGGTAGCTGAAAGACTTATTTTACATGCAGAGTTATAGGGACTGGTATTAAAAAAAGGTTAGTATAACTTTTAGATTTTAAAAACAAAAGTGTCCTTACAAAAGTGGCAATCTTAAAATAAAGATGACCGTAAAGAACCTTCCCGTAAATCACCACTGCCTTAAACAATCCTGAGGTCGCCCGTGTAAGCCAAGAGAGCCAATGAAACTGTGGGCCAGAAATAACTAATAACTAAAAAAATAAGCGAAAGTGGTATGTCAGGAGCGGTCTCTTAGGCGATCGATCCACTCTGCCTGCCCCGTAAAGGAAAAAGTATAGTTATAGTAGTATTGCATAAGTTGTTTCATCGTTTTTTTATTTTTACAGTTTTCAATATCACTACATAGTTATAATGCAGTTTTAGGTCATTTCCAATGGAATTGTAACATGTTTTTGTGCATTTAACAAGTTGGTCTTTAACTTGTTAAGCATACTTAGCTGAATAGTTTTATTTTAACTTCATTATCTTTACTACTGTCAGGCATACTTTCACCTTTTTTAAAACAGCGATTTAGTTGGTAGAGGGTCATAACTTTGTGGCGGTGCAAGGAAAAGAGGAGATCTCCCGCCGGGCAAGGTTGTTCTGCCCGGGGAGCGGCCAATGCTCCGATTGGTAGTTCGGAGCTATTATATATATGCTACTTTAAGGCCCTAACAGTGGTTGAAATGCCTAAATCTTGGATATTTAAGTAAAAAAATCTCAATAACTGTTCGTTTAATCCACAAAAAAAAGTACAGGGTAACAGAAGAGGATTTGGTAAATGTTTTTAATTGAACAAAAATGTATTTTTGTCAACCCCTTATTAGAAAAAAAAATCCCCAAAGTGTACCTATCTTTGTCATATTTTGCAAAATTTCTCCAAAACGGCACAAGCTTTTTAAATAGTTCTTACAGTAAAAAAAGGTCTTAAAAATATTAATATTTTTAATTGAGAGTTTTATTTTTGTTCCCCGTTTTATAAAAGAATATATCATTTTTCCCTGAAATTGAATATATTTACTCTAGCGCGCATGCTCCGTCGCCCTGTCGCAGTCCGTTTTCGGACATCGTCGAGGGTTAACCGCGCGTCGATGTTGGAGCGAATTTGGATCGACTTTAAATTGGAGAGGGATTTCTCTACGTGATAAAGTTAGGAATGAAGATATTCGCAGCAGAACCAGAGTAACTGACATAGCCCAACGGAATATTAAAGTGAAATGGCAATGGGCTGGCTATATAACTTGGAAAACCGATAAAAAATAGGAAGAAAGGTTCTCGAGTGACAACCTCGTACAGGTTAGCGAAGTAGTACTCAACCTTTATTTCTCTTCACGTATTCCCATACGCTTTTCTTCACATATACATACACACACACACGCACGCACGCACACATGCACGCACGCACGCACGCACGCACGCACGCACGTTCGCACGCACGCACGTATGCACGCACGCACGCACGCACGCACGTAATCACGCACGCAGGAACGCACGCTGGCACGCGCGCACGTACGCACGCATGCACGCACGCACAAACGCACGCACGCACGCACACACGCACGCACGCATGCAGGCACACACGCACGCACGCAAACACGCACGCACGCACACATGCACACACACACACACACACACACACATACATACACACACAAAACACACACACACACACACACACACACACACACACACACAAATAGGCCGCAAATAATACTTACCTAGTACTATTAGGCAAGAGTATTTTTAGGTCAGTGCAATTCACCATCTTAGGCTACATAACCACTTACCGATGGGATTGTAGTTGCTTTACTACTTGCTGGGTAATAATAGTAAAAAAAAATTACCCTGTGAAAGTTTGCATTTAGATATAATTTTTCTAACCAACCATAAAAATATGATGAGAATATGGATATAAGTATAAATGTTGCCTCACACGGGACAGTAATAATATAATACTATATCTTCCATTATCTGCATGAAAACTTTTAAAATCTCTGATTCCGAGGTATGTGCATATTAAGAGGCTGAATAGAGCCACATTGATATGCATGGGGATCGTTTTGTAATTTTACGTCGTTATCGAACAAAAATTGTACGTATTTCAGGTAGCGGTTTGCAAAACATGATTCCACAAAAAATCCGTGGTAGAGCTATGCTGCAGCTATATTAGTAGTAGGTATAGGTGTAGCACGACTGGGTCGGCTCGACCACGCCACCGAGGAAGGGCCACGCTCTCACAGAATACCATGTAAAATAGCAGTTTAACCCTACTGTGTTTCGTATGGTGAGTGTAGAGAACCGGAGAACCTTTTTACTGGAAACGTGGAATTACATCTTAGTCCTCACGGGTGACTACGCATCTACATTTTGATACGTAATCGAGAATAGATGTAGATGTCTATGGGCCGTAGCAACCACTTACCATCAGGTGGACTGTGTGCTCGTTTGTCACCCTTATTCTATTAAAACAACTTTCTGAGATAAGTAAGTAGATAAGTAAGAGTAAGCACTCGTGCAATTATGTGTCTCATGTTAATAAAGCAATTGGGCTATTTTGATTTTTAATATAGTGATTTTACTTTATAGGTTAAATAATTTATTTACCCTTCTATATGAAGAACCGTTTTTTCTGTCACTCCTATTGAATTTGACAGTGCTTGCTGAAATTTAGCATCTTTAGATGGATCAGAATCGCGCGCTGATTCGGCTGATAGATTTTTCAAAAATAATCGAAAATATTTATTTTTACTTTCATGCCGAAGACTACCTTGTTTTTTTATTATGGTCAAATAATATTTATTAGGTTGTATAGCAAGTATTTACAAATGTTTTCATTATTTTGTTATTCTAATGTTTACAGTTATTATCACGTCTTAGCTTTACACCAAGAATTACATTAGAAATTCTGGATGGAATGCGATGTAACGCGCATACTTTAATTTCATCAAGAACTATAATATATATATATATATATATATATATTTGGTTTTTTTTCCAAGTAGAGTTAGAGTACCAGTTAATCATACTGAAGATTATCAATCGTACTACAAAATATTTAAAAGACTATTTCCAGTATAACGACCCGAATATCATCATTAATATTTAACTGGCACACTTAAAAGTTTTATCACATGGCTAAATAATTGACTATTATATTATGATAAGGTCATGCTTTTCTGTATAAAGTTGCAAGAAATTTTAAATCACGGATGTAAATAAGTGTAACATAGCGAGTATTATATTCAATGTTAGCGGCCATCCATATTTGTAAAGCCAACATCATTTTCTGTACAGAAACCGGCAAAGTGTTGCTCAAGGCAATATATACAAAGCAGCTGATAAAAATGTTACACTCATAACTGTTAACAAAAACTGTTTCTGCAAATGGTCTTATAGATGATAATAACTATTCCGTCGTGTTAGGTGCAGGAGCTATTATTAGAAGGAGAAGAGGTAAAATTTTGTTTTAGAAATGCGCAATCAATATTGTTTTGTCTGCAATTGAGCATAAAATAAAAAATAACTACAGCCAAAGAGCATAACTGGCATTATACTCAGGCCCATCAATTGGTACGGAAAAAAATAATTTTACCAGGTTTCAAAAAATCAATCAAAATTCAAAAAAACAAATATTAAAATCAAAAAATGTATATATGTATGTCTATACATACATATAACGATTTATGGCCGCTTTGTAACTGACGGTGACTCAGTATAACATCCTACAGTCACGCCGAAACTAAGAAGAGAGAATCACTGTAGAAAAGGTAATAATTTATTGCGGAAATTTTATGATAAAATTAAAAAAATTATAAACTTATCCAAGTTAATCTAACTTAGTCTAACTTATCCTTATGCGTTACAAAAAAAAAACAAATAATAAAATAGTGAGATGTCGTCAGTTTTTAAGAAGATATAACAAAAATAAACAAAAAAAAATTTCAAAAAAGTTCAGTATTTAATTTATTATATACCGCTGACACTTAATCACGCTTTTCGAAACCACGCCAGTTGTAAACAATACTTGTGTGAAAAGACAAAATCTTCTTTTCTAATTTCCGCCGCGTTGTAAGTAGAAGGCCAAATAGGTCATGTGTCAATTTTAATTAAATATATTTTATATGAAGTGATCTTGACTACGTATCATCAATTAACCATTGGTAAAAATTAAAACAGGAATTTTACAATTGTGTTTACTAGAAACATTATTAGTTAAACCTTGCAGCTTGTTCATTATTTTTATTATAAATACCTATAAATATATTATTAATAAATAGTTCCCATAATATTTTATATTATTTTTTATTTTGCCCTATCTGCAACGTTCTACGCTCTAGAGAAAATGTGGCGTATGACATGACTGACAATCTCTCGAACGTTGTATCTAGGTACAAAGTTGTTTTACATTTTCGTCGCCTCCACATGATATTTTGACAGCATAAGGTACCCTTCTGTATCTGAAACGAATATTAATATTGCTACAAAGTAAAGTAATAGGCTATACAAGTTCCTCTACTGGGCACAGGACTCTTTTTTATTTCTGAGAGGGTTTTAGGGCAAGGAAATACCCGCCGCGCTGCCCTAATGCGTGTTGACGAAAATTGCAATTACAAATTTCATTCGTGCTGTCGGGGATCAAACCCGGGAAAAATTTACAGAGAACGCTTTGACCCAGATCTACTAATACGACACAAATAAATACAATTTAACATATACAATTAAAAACTCTTACGTACTTGAAACTTGAACACTTGATAGCTCGTGACGCCTACCGGACAAAGCTAGAGCACAATGTAATTGAAGATGCGTAACCGCGACATAATTCTCAGTGATGCGCAAGCATAACAGGCAGTATGTCACTTATATAATTGTCACGTCTGCAGTCTATTAATCTTTGCACTTTTATAAGTAACACAGAACGTCGTTGCTAGACGGTGTTGACGTCGGCTAAAATCTCTGCGATTGCCGTTTCGTCGCACGATGGAATAAAAATGTTCTCAATATTTTATTTAATAACTTCGTAAGATTGATTAATATCTATAACTATGCCAATTACAGATTTGTAGCACCTAAGATCTCCAAGTAAAACCATGGACGGACGAACGGATATGGCACCCCAAAAAGAAGTTTAGATATAAAGGCAAAATGTCATTAAACTTAATTATTTATATATTTTACAAACCATTAACAAATTCATAAGTTACTTAAGTTAATATAGGTTTAATTTATTTTAGTATTTGCCAGAGGTATTTTGGAAAACTAGTCGTGAAAATTACGGTAGAGCGACGGAGCTGGTTCGAAGAGTCGACGACGTAATTAGCGGAATTGTCTTCATTTCCTTCGCTAACAATCTTTTTTTTATTTGTCTGCAGCTGTTTAATACTTTGGAGTAAGTGATTGTTTTTACTTTTTTTTAAATCAGTAAGAAGTATTTGCATATATTAGTATCATTTTTATGACTGCTGACTGGCAACAGCAATTTCTTGATAACAATTTAATGATTTAAATATTGGGAAGCTAACAAATCTGCGAAATGTGGCAACTATGGGGGAATCTGTGGCGGCGGCCTATTTTTAATAGTTGTAGTAACTATTTAAGGGCTATAGTGAATTAATTTTAATACCATATTTGTGTTGAGCGAGTGTTTTCATAGCAAAATAAAGTGCTATTATTATTTATTCAGGAACGGAATCAAAGGAACTGGAGAATGCAGCAGACAAGCGACAAGGAAAGTATTTTTTTGATTGTAATTAATAGAATCAGGCGTTACTTTGCGGAAATCCGCAAAGATTCGCGTAATAAAATATAATGATGTGTCTTACCTAATTTGATGGGCACATCCTGCTCTTCCTCAATTACGTCTGCTATCCCCGTCAACACTAATTCCAGCACCACTACACTAGGAAAGACACACCACCGTCGATAATACGACATTATTTCGCCAGGTGAAGTAGTCCGCTTCTTAGCGGGCGGTTAGGGGAAGTTAAGTTAGAGTGCGAAAAGAATATTCCCGCATATATAAATAATGTTCTCCATCACTAATCTGTATGAATTTTTTCTCCACTATTAGTTAGTAAACAAGGTATGGCAAGTGGTAGCTCAAAGGATAAGCGCTTGCCGTAAATTACAAACCACAGGAGTAACCCGGGTAGCAATACAGGCACGAAGCTCGGCGGTGAAGGAAAACATCATGATGACACCTGCATACCTGATATTAAAATTCCACTTACACGCATTGGAGCAACACGAAGTCTAAGTGTTCCATACCATGTCTATAACATGTACCTTCTCAGAAATGAGAGAGGGTCTACGAGTATGCCTGTCCATTGGACTAACGAGTATATAGGCTGTAAAATTAACTTTTTTATTTATATCATAGGGGGCAAATGAGCATGCGGCTCACCTGATGGTAAGTGACTTCTGCCGCCCATGAACAACTGCAACAACAGGGGAATTGCAGATGAATTGCCGGCCTTTTAAAAAAGAGCAGGGTCTTTTCTTGAAGGTCCCTAAGTCGTATCGGTCCGTAAAAATCGATGGTGGTAATCTATCCCACAAGAAAGTTGTGCCAAGGAGAAAACTTCTTCTAAATCGCACAGTAGTGGACCGCCAATCATCCAGATGGTATGGATGGTTGGTAAAATTAAGGTACATTGCATTGCGCAATAGGTTCTTAAGTCTCTCCTTCATCTCAATTTTTTTCTTCTTATAGGACGACTATCTTGGGTGGCTATGAAGCAGCAGCCTACTTCCTTTTTTCTTTGGTTTACCTGATCACGCGCTCAGTAGCTGTATCACTAATTGCGTCTCAAGTAAACACAGCATCTACCGTCCCCGCTCCTGTTCTATATGATGTACCATCACCAGTGTATTGCATAGAGGTAAGTTTTATTCTTTGATTAAATAGAGATTTTTTATAGCACACTATCTCATTTATCTTCAATAAAGAATTAAAATGCAAAAGCGTTTTTTCTACATTTATCTTTGATTAAGAAAGAAAATTCTCATGCGCTGTCACCCGTGAGTACTTAGATGACATGCATCGTTACCAGTGAATAGGGTCTCCGGTTCTCTAAAATCACCAAACTAAACACCTCAAATTTAAGCTGCTGTTTTACGCTGGTACTCTCTTAGAGCGTAATCCTTCCTCGTTAGAGCTGACCTATACAATTATAATAAAGATGGAGCCTGGTTTACCAAGAATATTATCGGCTGTCTGTTTCCTTGATGGTAAGTGGCTTCTGCAGACCTCATGCCTCTCAGTCTGTATGTATTATGTGAAATACACGTATTGTGAGCGTTGCTAGCATTAAATAAAAGGAATCTCTAAAAAGTTTTTCATACATTAATAATTCCAAAACATAAGTCCTATGCTGAACCTTTGCCTCCCAATAGATTGCCTCATAGGGTGGATATTTGCTATATTTTGTCACGATTTACAGGCATGTTGTCAATTGCAGTTTTTGTTGCTTTGTTAACAGAAATATCCTGCTGCCTATCTACTACTTCATTTCTTTTGTTTCTTTTGTGGATTCTCTTAATCCGCCACGACACGGCAAAATTTTTAAAAATTGTTATCGTACAAGTATCGTAAAAATTGATAATAATATTTATTCCAACCGTACCGTTTCGAGTGCCTGGCAGCACTATTGATCACGGTGTTGGTTGTTCTGCTTCAACAACTTAAATCCATTCGCGTTATCAACTTGGCGCTGGATACAACCGTGAGGAAACTCCGAATATATATAAATAATAAAAATTACGATTAAATTTTGGTGAGTTATTATTGGCGCGTTCACGAAGGCTTTTGACAACAAAACTATTGCAATGTATGCCGGGCATTACAAGATAGTAAAAATTACAATTATTTCAAAAACACGTTTGTGGTCACATTGGGTACCGCGGCAGCTTTGTTGCTACAAATACCTTTCAGAAATGAGAGGAGGAATGTGACTAGCAGGGAGACGTCTGTATATTCTCTGGTTTATTTTTTATCAGTAATAATTTGTGTTGTAGGTGCAGAGATTTTTAGATCAGGTTCATGGTAATAAAGTTGCTTTAAGTGGACTCCAATTCTTCAGTGTTACTCGAAGTTTACTATTAACTGTAAGTTTTTATTAAAATATAATTAACCAATAATTCTTTAGTAGTAATTATAATACTCTTACTTTGGTATATAAACAACACAAACTGATCTATTCTATTTTCTAGGTAGTAGCGTTTATTCTTGTTTAATCGACTAATTAATCGTATTTATACGAGCATGATATAACAGTTTCCCTGTCCGAGGAAAAGACACAATAGTTAAACTAAGGGAATATTCATATATGTCTCAGTGACAATGAAATGGTTTATTTTGTTTTCTACTCATCGTTTTCTCTAAAGTTTGAATTTTTGGAATTGAAGTTACTATTTAATCAGAACATGGTTGAAAATGGTAAATGGACTGTAATTTGCATAGACGCTGGCTGATTCTACTCGATACCGTTAACTAGACAATATTACTAAGGTCGGACGTACCTGAATATACGAAGGCGGATGGTCCTGCTCTCGTGCGCTTCTTCGGGGATCCCAGCTACACGGATTTCGGTCACTCACGATTATCCAATTCTAGGAATAACTTGCGGCGGAACATATATTAGGGAGCAGCGAAAAAACGTGCCATTTCTCACGACGCGCGGCGTTGACAGTATGTGATCACGTGACGGGAAGATGTCCGTAATTTTAACGGACCAATAGTACGCAAGAATCCCATCGACCCGCGAAATACACGGACATCCAAACCAAAGTAACATTGGTGTAACAGTTGCGAGTATTCAGAGCAAAATAAACAAAGAAATTTCGGCTGCTTATTAAACTAGCCGAACCATTCCTCCCGGCCTTGAAAGGGAAGCTTTCAAAGGTGTAATCATCTTTATCGACCAAATTAATTTATTCTCACTTCCATGAACCTTATTACAACATACTAAAGAATGTTTGTTAACTACTTATATCTACTTAATCCCACTAACTTATCTATGACTTATTATCTAGAGGCTAATCTACCCTTTACCTAAATAATTTGTGAATTTTACTGAGTTGGTAATGGACACAATTTAACCACTGGTCTTTGGTAAGTACCGTGCTTAGTCCTTACCATTGCTACACGTATAACGTCGTCCTTACCTTTAAAGGTTTGTGTTATAATGCCTAAGGGCCAATGTAAGGGCGTGATGTTATCCTGTATTACTACAACAACCGTTCCTTCCTTAACTGGGAAGGATGGTGAGTTCCACTTCTGGCGGGCTTGTAGGCTATGAAGATATTCTCTCCTCCATCGCATCCAGAATGACTGTACCAACTTGTCTAAGAGTTCATATCGAGTTAGAAGATGCGGAATCGAATCATCGATATCAGGTGCTGGCAGGAAATCAAGCGGGACGGTATGTAAAAAATGAGCTGGCGTCAAAGCTGCTGGATCTGAAGGATCAGAGCTGAGAACTGTAAGTGGTCGTGAATTCAATATGGATTCAATCTGGCTTAAAACTGTTTGAAGCTCCTCAAAGGTTAGAATTTGTTGGCCGATGACCCTATATAAATGGGTTTTTATGCACTTGATGTTACTTTCCCAGCAACCACCGAAGTGTGGAGCATTAGGAGGAATCAGTTTCCATTGGATACGACTTTCTGCTAACTGCTTTTCCCACACTGGTTTATATTCATTCTTTAGAAAAGCGTACAAATCGCGAAGATAAGATCGGGCACCAATAAAATTAGTTCCGTTATCGGTATAAAAACATTGAACCGATCCCCGTCTAGCTAGGAATCGTTTCATGGCTGCCAAGAAGCAAGCTGTGCTGAGATCGCTTGCGAGCTCAATATGCACCGCTCGTGTAGTAAGGCATGTAAACAAGCAGATGTAAGCCTTACGGCTTTTTATACCCTTACCACGATATGGTGTTACTAGGACTGGGCCGGCATAATCGCATCCAGTATGGACGAAGGCTTTGACAACCGCTCTCACTCGAGGTTCAGGGAGGTCAGCCATCATAGGGAACCCAGGTTGAGGCTTAGATCGAAAACATACGTTGCATTTAGATATAATGGCTCTAATTGCACGTCTAGCAGATAGTATCCAGTATTTAACACGGAGTACAGAAGATAGCAACCCTGGTCCTGTATGTAAATATTTGCAGTGGTATGAGCGTATGAGCAAGTCTACCACATGATCCTTACAAGGAAGGAGAATAGGATGTTTAAAATCAAAACTCTCCTCTGAGTTTGCCAAACGGCCACCTACGCGTAATACGCCATCCTTAAGAAATGGGTTTAATTTTTTAATAGATGGAGAACGACATCCCCCTTTCTCTAAACGTTGAAGGTCATCACTAAAATGTATTGACTGTATTACCTTCATAATTTCTAATTCCGTAAATTCCAAATCTGACTCAACTATGGGTCCCAGAGGTAGCTTCCTTATAAACTTGTATATGTAGCTTGCCACGTTAAGGAACCGTTGCCACGAAGAGTAATTACGTGCTAGCTTATAAAGAAAAGGTTCTTCGATTGGTTTTATTATTACTAGGGAAATAGACTTAAGCTCCGGCGCGTCGGAAGATTCCTTTGGCACAAATGTTTTTATTGGCCATTCGGTTTTTTGTAAATGGGCCCAAGGAGGCCCCTGTAGCCACAGGGGGTGATTCATAAGTTGTGTAGGAGTTAATCCACGGGACAAACAATCGCACGGGTTTTCGTTACCCTTGATGTGGTAAAAGTGATCCGATGGTAAGTTGTCCTGGATTTTGGAGACTCTATTGGCAACAAACGTGTGCCATCGGTGCGGAGAAGAGTGAATCCAATTTAACACTACGGTCGAGTCTGAAAATGCTAACACCGAATCAATTGGGTATCTACTCGAATATATTTCAAAAACCTTTTTTATTAATTTAGAAAGCAACAAGGCTGCACATAATTCCAGACGTGCTAATGAAACAACCTTCAAGGGCGCAACCTTTGACTTTGCGCATGACAAAATGACAGTTGTCTGAATTTGTTTGACGTCTACTCGAATATAAACTGCGGCGCCATAAGCCTTTTCACTCGCGTCAGCGAAACCCAGAATTGTTACCGAACAGCCATGAACCACTCCAAGGTGCCGAGGAAATTTCATCTGGGCAAGCAGGGGAAGTTCCCGTCGGAATTCATTCCACAGTCGTGTAATTCGTTGTGGGGGATCAGCGTCCCAGTCTATTTTAGCAATCCAAAGCTCCTTGATTAAAAGCTTGGCATACAAAATTACAGGTGCTACCAGGCCCAAAACATCAAACAAACGTGCGACAGAGGACAAAATGTTTCTCTTAGTGCAAGGGCGATCATCTGAAATTACCTTGAAGGCGAACTCATCATCATGAGGACGCCAGTAAAGACCTAATATTTTCAAGGTATCGTCCTTGTGAAATTCGACATTTTGCGACAAGCGATAATCTTCAGGAATATATTCAAGTACCCTTGTGCTATTGCTACTCCATTTGACTAGATCGAAGCCCCCAGCCTTAAATAGCCCGATTAACTCTTGAAAGGCAGAAATAGCTCGATCGGAATTCATCAGTGAGCTAGCTATATCGTCCATGTAAAGATCTCTCTGCACGACTTCTTTACCTATAGGAAAACGGTGACCCTCATCCTGTACTAGTTGCGAGACAGTGCGAAGAGCTAAAAATGGGCTACACTTTAGTCCAAAGGCTACTCTATTGAATTCTAATGATTTTATTGGAATTTGAATATCTGAACCACCTCCTAAATTGTCATTCCGACTGAAGCGATATAAGATACGCTGAAAACGTCGATCCTGCTTACGGACGCCTATCCTAAGATACATCTGCCTCACGTCAGCTGTGATGGCAACAGGTAATAGTCTCATATTCATTAGGATTGTAAAAAGGTCGCGTTGAAGATTGGGACCGGCATATAAAAGATCATTTAAAGAAAATCCGCTACTAGACTTAGCACTTGCATCCAGGACAGGTCGAATCCGTGTCGATAATTTATCTTCCCTAAGAACAGCGTGGTGGGGCATGTAAAAGTGCAGAGGATCTTTATCGGCTGTATCAATAGGAGACAAATAACCTTGATATATATAATCCTTGATTACACTATCGTACGCCTCTCTTAGAGCGGGCTGAGCAGTAAACCTACGCTCTAAATGCAAAAATCTACGCCCAGCAACTTCCAAAGAATTACCAAGAAGATCTGGACTGAATTTGAAAGGTAATGCTACTTCGTAGCGTCCGGAAGTAGCACGCGTGACAGTCTTGCTATAATTTTCTTCGCATATTTTATCATCAGCACTAAAGATATGCTTAGGATCAATTTCGTCGAGTTCCCACATTTTCCTAACTAGAGTCTCGACCTCAGATGTTGAAATAGCATGAAAAGCTACGACTGCTGGGGCTTGAGCCTGGATAACCGCTGGAGCATCTCCTAGAACGATGTATCCTAAAACGGTCTCAAGCGCATCCGGAGAACCGGGTTCCCCGATAATTTTACCAGGTCGTAGCATCTCTGCAAAAAGACTAACACCGATTAATAAATCTATTTCTCCTGGCATACCCCAGCCATCGTCCGCCATGGGAATACTACGTAGATTTTCAAGGAATCTAGTATCGATATTACACGTTGGTATATTACTAGTGATTCGATTTAACACTAGAGCCTGAATATTAAATTTTGTATTATTGAATCGAGATCGAAAAGAAATATTTGCCGCCCCCTTGACTATCTGTGATGAGCCACCTATTCCCTTCACCGTTACAGGCGAATTAGATTCGACCTTTAGCTGTAGTTTTGAACAACATTTTGTTGTTATATAATGTTTCTGGGAACCAGGATCCAGTAAACATCTAACTATTACATCGCGACCATCGCGACCGGTGGCATAAACCTTTGCGGTTGCGAGAACTTGCGTTGTTGATGATGAATCGCATTTTGTAGAAGACAACGAGCAATACGACACTTCTGGATTTCCTTCTCCAACCAAATAACCGTCACGCACTTGATCGGAGGAGGACTCTTCTTCAAGTTCTAGTGAGCTCAGTATTTCACTAGTATCATGTTCCTCGTTCACGGCTACAGTGGCGGTGCAAGACTGCGCCGCAAATGGTTCATTTCCAAAATGAAGCAACGTGTGATGCCTGGCATTACACTTGCGACAAGAAGTGTTTGAGTTGCAATAAAAGAGGTATGTTGGTTACTCAAACAATTAACGCAGTAACGATTGTCCTTAACGAATTTAAATTTGTCGGCAGCCGAAAGGTTAGCAAAGGGTTTACATGCATAGAGATGCGTATGCGCCGTGTTGTTGCAAAGCTTACATGGCCTAGTACGACCTTGGGTCTGCTGCGTGGAGACTAAGACGCGTGGCGGCACGGTTAAAGCCCGTGAGCTAGATGGGCGACTACCAGAGTTGGGATGCGGTGCCATGGAACTGCCACGAGTTTGTGATGAAGTGCTGGTTCGATACAAAATTTTTACCTGTTCTCGTAAGAACTTAACAAACTCGTCGTATTTAGGCATGTCCGTTTGACTACGAACTGTTGTTTCGAAACACTTCGCAGTATCGGAATCTACAAGCTTTAGGCCCATGTAAACAAAAATAAAGTCACTTAAATTATCTATATTAAGTTGTTTGAGTGCTGCGATCGTGGCCGCGTATTTATCTACCAAATTTTCTAAATTTATTGCAGAGGGACCGTTAATATTCTTTAATGCAAATAACTGATTTAGATATGTCGTAGCTAAAGCTCTGTTATCCTTGTATTTGTCTTGTAAAGTTTGCCAAATAATTACGTAATTATCTGCCGCCGGGATTATACCAGCACATATATGTTTTGCTTTTCCGGAAAGGTGGCTCATTAAATAGTGAATACGTTCCGAATCCGTTAACGTTTTATTTTCGTGTATAACACGTTTAAACGTTTCGTAAAAATAAGGAAAGTTTTGTAACTCACCATCGAAAATAGGCAATTCAATACGAGGAATCTTAATAGTATGTTCCTGATTAATTGCATGTGTGACGGCTTGCGATTGTGGGTTTGGTCTCTCCATACTATTCAGGATATCCTTAATAAAATAATATAAGTCGTCAAAAGCTGATAACGGCTGGTAATTAATACTATAATCGGGATATACTTCCAAATTTAATAAATTTATATCATCAACCAAAGTTACAAACTCTTTACGTAATTGATCGACGGCGCGAGCTTGTGATAAGAAATTATGCCGTGATTTTTCATCTGTTTTCGATGATAGTTGAAAAGTCTTATTTATTTGAGAGAAATACAATTGACGCTTAGCTTCTAACAATTTAATTTGCATAAGGCGTCTATCTTTTCCTGCACCCTTTTCCGTCATTGTAAATATATTTATTAGAACACGATTATATTACCCCAAAGTGAGTAAATTATCCTTGTTTTTACGAATTAAATGTAAATAAATTTTCATGCGTGATTGAAGAAATATAAATGAGCAGGTTAGTTAATAAGTATTTAAGTAATTTAACTGTATTTATAGTATACAAAGTTTGCGAACTCCACTAGAAATTCAAATCAGTTTTAATATATGTCATGCGCTGCATATGTACCAAACTAAGAAAAAGGTGCGATACGGTACTTAGATAAACTGCACAATGGCTGGCGGCGAGGCGCGGCGGTTATTTCTACCCACTAGGTAAATTAAATCGAACCGATTTAAATATTTACGGAGCGATATGATAATAATATTAAATGCGATTAAGTAAATTAAATGCGACAGCTGTCTAAAAGTCGATGCGATTAATAAGAATGTTTCTTAGTAATAAACATATAAAATCGATCTTGTAAACGGCTGTATGCGATGCGGAAAATACATCAATATTAAGTAGTATTTACAAGTCGACAACTAACAGTATAAATAGTCGACATCAACCCAAGTATGCCACAATAAGGTTCAGTATCAATTACGTCGAAGAGTCGAATCACAATCGGATTTACCTATTTAATAGTTCCAATCCGAATGTCATCCGGCTCGAAGGACCAATTTTTGGTTGAAAATGGTAAATGGACTGTAATTTGCATAGACGCTGGCTGATTCTACTCGATACCGTTAACTAGACAATATTACTAAGGTCGGACGTACCTGAATATACGAAGGCGGATGGTCCTGCTCTCGTGCGCTTCTTCGGGGATCCCAGCTACACGGATTTCGGTCACTCACGATTATCCAATTCTAGGAATAACTTGCGGCGGAACATATATTAGGGAGCAGCGAAAAAACGTGCCATTTCTCACGACGCGCGGCGTTGACAGTATGTGATCACGTGACGGGAAGATGTCCGTAATTTTAACGGACCAATAGTACGCAAGAATCCCATCGACCCGCGAAATACACGGACATCCAAACCAAAGTAACATTGGTGTAACAGTTGCGAGTATTCAGAGCAAAATAAACAAAGAAATTTCGGCTGCTTATTAAACTAGCCGAACCAGAACACATTAAAGCATTCAACAGTTTATCAAGAATATATGATATATCAAGAATAATCAAAGACCACACAATTTTCGGCCCGTTCACTAACTCGCCTCTTTCGATAACCACGGGCTGGGATGCTATTGACATTATTATCACCATCATCATCCTCATTACAGGCCTTCACGAGTCTACTATTAAACATAGACCTCCACCAAGGAATGACACAAAGCAGGGTCCTGAACCATCCATCGACTTATTGCTTGTCCTACATGACATTCTCATTTTTAACATTATATATTAATATAGTATTTTTAATGTAATATGGTATAAAATATTATCATTATTAATATTAAATATTATTATATTTAATAATTTCAATTAAAACAAAAATAACTATTTTTTTGGCTCTTAGTTTGCCTGCTCTGTTCGGGCTAATCTTCAGTGTGACAGTTCATGAAGTACCATCACAATCGTTATGATTTTATGATACTTCACGAACAGGTAGATATTGAATTGTTCCCTGATCTAGGTTATATTTTATCCGAAAAATATACAGTATTTTTGTAAATGGAAAATCTCAGAATATAAATTATTTTTGATGATTATCTCATATAAATTGACATAAAAAATCGATAAATGTCGTTTTATTTTCAAATTTAAAAAAAAAGGTCCGTTATACATTTCTTGAAATTCATATATATTATTTTATTTCCAGGTCGCTGGAACCATAGTCACATACGAACTTGTGATGTTCCAGTTCAATTCATCTCAAGAGCCAACCGTTAGCAATAACGCCATAACTACCGTTGCTCCAACGAATTGATGATAACTAGAATAAATTTAGTGTTTTAAAGTATAATCATATAACAGGAAGCCCAGCAGTTACAATTCCCAAACTCATTTTTGTTAGACGGATTTTTGACTTTTTAATTTTTGTTTTATATTTTAATTGAATATTTTTTATTTAAAAATTTGATTTTAATTGATATTGTAGCTTATATCAAAATAAAAGATTGGTTAAATATAGACATACTAGTATAATATTTAAACAGTTTTTTTTTACAGTTTTTGGTATAAATACAATTTTTTTAATATAAATAGTTATTTGTTACGTAACAAAAATCTTACAAAGATAAACGTGAAATAAATACACAACTGAAACAAATACAAAAGTATCGGATACCCTTTTTACCTCTTGTTCTGAGGAGAGAAAACGTTATGTCTCATAATCGAAGATAGATGAAGATGTCTAAGGTCCACAGTATTCACTCATTTACATTCTATAAAAAAGTGCCACAGTTCTTTAAAAAAGTAGCACCAACTTTCAAATAAAAAAGGAATCATCAAAATCGGTTCACCCAGAAAAAGGTTATGAGGTAACACAAAAAAAACATAAAGTCGAATTGAGTACCACCTCATTTTTGAAGTCGGTTAAAATATATTATTGTCTATCCTTTTAAACTTGCATCCAAAGAGAGTATATTGACGATCCTTAGAGCATCTTGCGCGTTCAATACTAGAATTATTTTAGGGCTTATAGGATTACAGTGAAATTCCAGATGATTTTTACGCTATAATGTGCATGCAGGTTGCTTTTTTTGGTATACGAATCCAACACCATTTAATTTAACACAAATAGAGTATATAGCCCAGTTTCAAGAAACCAGATCTATAGAACAACATAGGTCATCGGCGGATCGAACGGAAGTAGCCATAAGCATGCGTTCGCCTCTATCAAAGTATACATAGGTCCACGCGGTCCTATGAGTACAATTGAACTAGTTGCAGCTGTACTGCTCATAACACTTAATCTAGTTGCCCAGCTGGATCGACGACCTACGAAAATGTCGAATTGTTGATTTTTTTTACTACAAATCGATATTTATCGTCTTAAATTGCCAATAAGTTTAAAATTAAAAATTTTGTACAACCGACTTCAATATAAATTATTAAGAATAACACAAAAACTAGTGTCCGACCGAGAACGGATTTTTAACAAAAACCGAAACCGAAAACGAACCTGCGGTCTGGGTGTCAGTTTCGGCCGGAACCGAAACCGAAACCGAAACTTATTAAGACATGTTAATTTTTTTATTGTATACTGAAATCTGGTATATTTTTATACATATACAGATAGGTCATCATCATCATCATTCATCATTACAGCCCTTTACAAGTCCACTGTTGAACATAGGCCTCCCCCAAAGAATGCCACAAAGGTCCTGAGCCACCTGCATCCATCGACTTACTGCATGTCTTACCAGGTCGTAACTCCATCTCGTGGGGGGACGCCCTACACTTCGCCTACCGGTACGAGGCTGCCACTCAAGAACCTTTCTTCCCCATCGGTTGTCGGTTCTTAGAGCTAAATGGCCGGCCCACTGCCACTTCAGCCCACTAATCCGTTGGGCTATGTCGGTTACTCTGGTTCTACTGCGGATATCCTCATTCCTAAGTTTATCACGCAGAGAAACTCCGAGCATAGCCCTCTCCATAGCTCGCTGAGCGACCTTGAGCTTCCTCATACGGCCAGCAGTGAAGGACCACGTCTCAGTTCCGTAAGTCATCACTGGCAACACGCACTGGTTGTACAATTTCGTTTTAAGGTTTTGAGGTATGTCTGACGAGAAGATGTGTCATAGCTTCCCGAACGCTGCCCAGCCGAGTTGAATCCGTTGATTACCTCTCGGTCGAAGTTGGACTTACCTAGTCGGACTATTTGTCCCAGGTAAACATACTCGTCAACAACTTCGAGCTTAGTGCTCCCAACAACTACCGGCATAGGTGTGACATGGACATTAAACATGATCTTTGTTTTGTCCATGTTCATCTTAAGACCTATCCGTTGGGAAACACTATTGAGGTCATTGAGCATAGTGCTTAGGTCCTCCAGCGATTCTGCCATAAGGACTATATCGTCGGCAAATCGAAGGTGAGTGATGTACTCGCCATTGATGTTGATACCGTATCCTTTCCAGTCCAGAAGCTTGAAAACGTCTTCCAATGCAGCAGTGAAGAGTTTCGGGGATATGAAGTCACCCTGTCTTACACCTCTCTGCAATTGGATAGGTTTCGTACTCTGGTTCTGTACTCGGATAGCCATCGTAGCCCTACTGTACAAGCACTTCAACACTTCGATATACCGACAGTCAACTTGGCACCGCTGAGGGGACTGCAGCACCGCCCAAATTTCGACGGAATGAATGGCTTTCTCATAGTCTACATACGCCAAACATAGTGGCAAATTGAACTCTTTGGACTTCTGTACAATTTGCCGAAGGGTATGTATGTGGTCTATGGTGCTAAAGCCCTTTCGGAAACCGGCTTGTTTGGGAGGCTGGAAGTCGTCAAATCTGCGCGCGAGACGATTCGTAATGACTCTCGAAAACAGCACGTAGACGCGGCTCAGAAGGGAAATCGGTCTGTAGTTCTTCAAGAAAGCGTTGTCACCTTTCTTGAAGAACAAGACCACCGCACTTCTGCTTCCCGCCTCCGGTGTAATGCCACCATGGAGGACGGAATTAAAGAGCTTCTGAAGGACTTCAAGTACCGGTCTTCCACCCGCTTTCAGAAGCTCCGCTGTAATTCCATCCTCGCCTGGGGCCTTACCGTTTTTAAGGTGCTGGAGAGCCATTCTAATCTCGCTCAGACTGACGTCCGTGATATCTTCGGAATAGTGTCGGATGAGACTCGCTCTTGGATCGTTACTCACACTTGCGTGTGGCTTCAACGATGATGTGTACAGCTGCCCATAGAACCTCTCAATCTCACTCAAAATCTCAGGTGTCCCGGAAACGATGCTGCCACATTCTGTCTTCAGCTTTGACAGTTGGCTCTTTCTGGCAGACAGATCTCTGGCAAAGACTTTGGAGCCTTGGTTCCGCTCGATCGCTTCTTCAATACGAGCTGTATTGAAGTTGCGTAAGTCCTGCCGCATGCATTTGGAGATCTGTCTGTTCAGATGCCTGTACGTTGTCAAGTCTGTTGAAGAATGTACCTTCATCTCCCTTCTAACAGCCATGAGATTAAGAGTGTGATCGGAGAGTTTTTGTGTTCTTCTGCGGCGGGTCTTGCAGAACTTAGCTCCGACCGCTTGGACAGTTTCCACGAGCTTGTCATTCATATCGTCCACTTCATTGCAGTCTTCTAGGCACTGAAAACGGTTTTGTAACTCGAGTTGAAAGGTTTCGGGACTTTGGAACAGAACACGAGGGGGACGGAGCGTTGACTTCATTAGACGAGACCTCTCCAACTTAAAGTTTAGGTTCAGTGTGCCTCTAACCATTCGGTGATCGCTACCAGTTTTCACCCTCGCAATCACGGAGACATCACTGAACAGTTGTCGTCTGGTCATCATAATGAAGTCAATCTCATTTTTTGTCAAACAGTCGGGGCTCGTCCAGGTCCACTTCCTGTGGGGCCGCTTCTGGAAGAAAGAGTTCATCATAAAGATTCCCTCTTTCTCCATGAAGTCGGCCAGCTGCTGGCCCCTTGGGTTCCGTTGCCCTATTCCAAATTTCCCTACTTTCAGCTCGCCGTTCTCTCTTGTGCCTAGTTTTGCATTGAAGTCTCCCATTAACACCGTATATTGGGTTTTGGAGGAATGCAGGGCTCTAGAGATATCCTCATACATTTCCTCCACCTCCTCATCGGGGTATGCCGAGGTTGGTGCGTAAACCTGTATGACCTTCAGCGAATACCGTTTGGTGATTCTGAGTATAAGGTACGCAACCCTCGTCGACACACTCCCGATCTTTACAACGTTGTTAACGAAAGACTTGTGGACGATAAATCCGACACCTCCTTGGGACATATGGTCGCCCTCCCGGTGATAGAGCAAGTTGCCGGATTCGTGGATTACCGTGTCCTCCCCCTCTCTTCGGACTTCGGATAATCCTATAATAAGCCAGCGCAACTTGTCTATCTCTTCTTCCATCTCCACGATGTTATCGTCAGTCCTCAGGGTGCGTGCGTTGTACGTTGCCAGGTCGAGTCGTCTAAGGTGGCAACCGAACCTCCACCGGAGATTCTTAGCACCCCCTGCCCCGCCGTTACCATGGTCGCCACCGTAGCCAGGAATAGCGGGGCCGCCGGGAACTGGGGACAATACAGATAGGTAATGCAAGTTAATGAAAAAAAGTCATTGTAATAGTCATGTAGCAATATATTTATTAATTTTTAAGTAAAAGTCAAAAATTTAACTTCAAGAAATCCTTTTTTTAAGTCAATTTGTAAAAAAGTCAACACTTACACCCATAAGAAGTTTTTGTTTTTTTTGACTTTAATAGAGAACATATCACACAATATATCACACTATCACACACACACACACACACACACACACACACACACACACACACACACACACACACACACACACACACACACACACACTCACACTCACACTCACACTCACACTCACACACACACGCACACACACACAAACACACACACACACACACACACACACACAACTTAACAAAATCCCAGAAAATATACAAAGCCTGCTCAAAGTTCAAAAACTTTAATAAACTAAGTTTGTTTAAAAAGAGTTATTAAAATATTAAGGAATTTATGGATGATAATCCCCCCTGGGAATGAGGTAATCACTAAGCTATTTCTAGTTTGTTTTGTGTTATGTTACATACATGATTGTAAGCAGTGGAGTAGCTAGGCGTGAGCGAAGTAGGCCCTCGCCCAAAGCCTTGCAATTAAATGGGCCTCGCGAGGCCCCCTAAAATGCGATGCCCCCAGACTTTACCACAGATGACTAATTAATTTGATCACTTTTACGCTCGAAAAAGATAGTCACAAATTTAAGTGTGCTTATTTGGGGCCTTGCAAGAAGCAACAATTACTGCGTTATTGTAACTACCTTAAAAGACCGCGACTGTTACATTGACGGAATACGAGACTTGGAATTAATAGATATGAGTAGGTATGTCCTGTCAAAGCATGTCTGGTAGGACAGATCTTTTGGGTAGATCCCTGGAACGAAAGAAAAGGGGCCTCGCTGATGTAACTTCGCCCACGTTTATATTAGTCCACGGTACGCCTCTGATTGTAAGCTGTTATTTAAAAAAAAGTCCAGCTGGGTTTCTTGCTGGTTCTTCCAAGGACAGAGGTTTACTTTTCAAACCAGTGATAAATAACCAAAGAGTGAATTTCAATAAGTATAATTTATAATCTATATTGAATAAAAAGTTTCTGTTTCTGTATAAAGTCACGAACTCATCCGATCGACGAACGATAATCCACGAACACTGAGTTTCGGCACCGCCGAAGGTTAGGCAGATTTTTTGCCGAAACCGAAAATATTACCAAAACTCGATTTTTTGCCGAAACTCGCCGAAACCGAAACCGTAACCGTATCTTCGGTCGGTCACTATCAAAAACTATTGGTCAGATCTTGATCAAGCACGAGCTTTCAAATAAAAATAAGAACCATCGAAATCGGTTTACCCAGAAAAAAGTTATGAGGTGACACATAAAAAAACAAATAGACGAATTGAGTACCGTCTCATTTTTGAAGTCGGTAGAAAATAGTATTATGCGTTATCTTTCATATATAAGTAATTTTAATTACATGATTGCTACTTCATTCTTAATGAGATTAAAACTTACGTTTAAAAACTTATAAATTACAATATGTAATATAACGGTCGTGTTGTTTCAAATTTGTTTACCAAAACATGCCACTTCCCCTAATGCAATATGCGAATCGGTCGAATGACTGATCCGAGTAGTCGCTGTCAGCGAGCGATAGTATTATAACTTATCTAAGTGTGTGTAAAATTTTTCGTATATTGCTTTTATTGTTATATGTGAGTTTTGTAGTGACATCGAAAAAAAAAACGCTATAGCTACTCCCCTCCAGTCTGACCGTGTCCCGAGTTGCTCTCTGTACTAGATCACAATGCTATATGGTGCAACATCGTGATTTAATTAAACCTCAAAATCGTAGCTAATGATCCAACAAGTGTTAAAATTAAAATATTTGTATAACTGTATTAAACTTGTATAAAAAATAAAATAAGAACATCATCAATGAAGTCGAAGTCAATTAAATATGCATTATTAAGGAAAACTCAAAAACTACTGGTCTAATCTTGAACAAATTTATATTGGACCACATGAGAAGCTTTCAAATAAAAAATCAATCATCAAAATCGGTTCACCTGGAAAAAAGTTCTGAGAAAACAGACATAAAAAATACAGTCGAATTCAAAACCTCGTCCTTTTTTAAATCGTTTAAAAATGAAAAAAAAATTGTTTATCGGAAAAAAAGTTTATTTGAATAATATTAATAAACTTTTAGAGTCAAATTATTGTATTCCAATGCCAATTCCTTCATCATTGTCTATTGTAAGCCATCTCATCTCACGATGTAATTTATCTAGTTGATCATTATTTTCGCCATATTTTGAATTTCTATTTTTGTAATTAAGTCCTAATTGATTTTCCCTTATATTTGAGACTGAATTATCCCTTATATTTGCAACTGAATTTTCCCTCAATTGAATGTCGTTTCTAATCTGTTCTTCTCGTCTTTGCGCAGACTTTATTTCATCTTCTCTTATTTCATTAATGTCAGATACTCTTTGTGCTTCTCTTAATTGTGCTTCTGTAATCTAGAATTTTTAATGACTTTTTTATATTCCAAGAGTACAAATGAGTACGCAGTCCAATTGATGGTAAGTGGACCATGGACATCTACATTTATCCTTCATTAAGAATCAAAATGCAGATGCGTTGTTGCCCTTGAGGGCTAGGATAGAATTCCTCGTTTCCAGTAAAAAGGGTCTCCGGAAGCACATCAGCATTAAGCTACCATTTTACGCTGGTATTATGTGAGAGCGTGGTCCTACCCCGGTCGAGCCGACTCATTCGTGCTAAAACCATAATATAGCAGCAGCTTGGGTCTACTTGGCTCTACGTACGTACAAAATGAATGAATTCTTTAATATGTGTAATAACCATATGAGGACTAAGATGGAATGTATGTCAGCTTGTAAATATACTGGCTCTTTTGTACCCTTTAGAGTGGAAGACAGCAGTTTGGCAGCAGACATTGGTAAGAAGAATACGCACTCATATACAGAAAAGGAATCCTTTCATTATTAACTAAATACTACCATATTCAAAATTATGAAAAATGCCGTATGGGGGAGTGCTTTACGCCACTTCCCTCAACCACCGTTGTCGTGAGTATTATAAGTTAATAAATTAATAAAATTAATAAATATAAAAATATTAAATTTAATATTATAAGAGGTGGATATATTAGACAGATGTCGCAGCCTCCCGTTGCTGAAATGAAAATTTAAAGTCTCTTAGTTAGAAGGTAGGAGAATATGAACCCTGAGCCCCCTGTATACACAAACTTCCTGCATGTTTTAACAGGCTGTCTATCCATCAAGTGGGGGCCACTCTACACTTCGCTTACTGGTATTAAGATGCCACTCGAGAATCTTTTTTTTATCAGTTGACTAACCCATTGCTACTTCAGTTTTATTATTCGTTTGGCTACATCAGTTACCTTGGTTTAACTGACCTTGCCATGTAATGGCAGTGTATAATATCCACTGTTTAGGTCACACGTGGGCTTCGTATAGGGCGACAAATAGAAACTAAACCAGCTGATAGGCAGTTGCACGATATAATAAAAAACTGCTGTTGCCAACTAGAGCATGGAAGTTATCGCAATGTTATCCTCGCTCTATGACGAATACTACTAGCTACTTATATACTACTAAATATACTAAAGTAGAATAGTGCTGTAAACGAAATATATTTAATCCACTACCCCATTTCACGCAGTGAATGCCGTAAGGAGAGATTATGGTAAATTGATCCATTTAACCGTCTTGTTTATACCTCAGACATAAGAGCTGCAAAGGGCAGTCTGGTCAAAGGCGTGAAACGTCTGGCACTTCGATTGGCAATCCGCCTGCTAAGCATGACAAATAAGGTAAATCTGATGAAGATTTAATAGTCCAAATATACCTCAAAGCGTCGATCAATGATGTCTTCTCGTATATCCTTTGTTCTCCTATAGTTTAAATTGTTACCGTTAATCCATCTTATATTTCCTGGCTGAAGAGGAATAAGATCCCTTCTTTTAATGTTAGCAACAACTAAACCAGGAGAAGCATAATCATAATTTTCGTTTTCTAAACACAGCGCACGTAAAAATGTAAGCGAAATTATTACAAGTTGCATTTCAAGGCAAGTCACATTATCGTTGTAATAAATGGAAAATATTTTATTGTTTTACATAAAAGTAAAGCACTACTTTTATTATGTCCTTTAGTTTCTCATTTATTTTTAAATTTAAAATGTTTCTATACCACGATAGAAATGCGTGTATTATTTCTTCAAAATATATACTGGTAGTAAATGAATACTTATTTCATTATGGAATATTTTTTATAAAACAAGCATAGAATCTAATTGATGGTAGGTGGATGCTGTGGCCCGTAGACATCTATATATCTTCGATTGAATATCAAAATTCAGACGCGTTGTCACCACTGAGGACTAAAATAAAATGTCTCGCTTCCAGTAAAAAGGGGTCTCTGCGTATCTGCACTATACATAACACACAAAGCAGTATTAAGCTAATATTTTACACTAGTATTCTGTAAGAGCGTGATCCTTCCTCAGTCGAGCCAACACATTCGTGCTACAATTATAATACAGTTGCAGCATGGCTCTAACACGCGTACTTCTATTATTATACAAATATATGAGTTCGATTTTTATAGGATAAGGTTGACAAACGAGCTCATTGTCCACCAGATGGTAAGTGGTTGCTGCGGCCCATAGACATCTACATCTATCCTCTATTAAAAATCAAAATGTAGATGCGTTGTCACCCGTGAGGACTAAGATGGAATGCCTCATTTCCAATAAAAAGGGTATCCGGTTCTCTACACTCACCATACGAAACACAGGAGCGTAAAGCTGCTATTTTACTTTGGTATTCTGTGAGAGCGTGGTCCTTCCCCGGTCGAGCTGATCCGTTCGTGCTACAACTATACTACTAATATAGCTGCAGCATGGCTCTACCACGTAAAAATGAGGTTAGGTATCACTAATATCAATAATAGTGTTGTTGTTTACACTTTCAAGCCCTAAATTTTTTAATAAATTAAGTGACACACAAATATAAAATCCATCTGATGGTAAGGAGCTACTGCAATTCATAAACTGTCTGCAAACTGCAGGCAATTTCAAATAAAAATGCTACAATCTCGTTGTCACATCTGCATCACAGCCTATAATTAAACAGGCGCTCTATAACCTTCAGACAGGATACAGGTTTGGCGGCAGAAATAAATAAGAGAGTTCCAGACAGAAAAACATCAAGACATATATGGAGTTCTAACCAGTTCTAACTCTTAGTGCCATCATGTATTACATGTTTACCTACTGATTTATTCCTATCTATATAATGAGAGAAAATCTTAAGAATGGGAAGGTTGAAATTTTAAATAACGCCTTTTTATTTATTTAACCTAAGGACGTAAAAGTATGACAGCGACGTCTCGCGTGAGTACCTAATCGGATCCATTAGCGACGATATGCTCTTACTTAAAATTTCGGGAATCAACGAAGTGACACAACATTACTATTAAAAATACATTTATTGCTTTTCCAAGTATTCTCCGCGAAATTTGACATATTTTTCCATACGATGGAACCAATCATTGAAGCAACCATTCCATTCGGAAGTTGGGGTCTCAAAAATGGCCGTTTCGTAGGCGTCCACAGCTTCTTCAGGTGTTGAAAATCTCTGTCCACACAATTTATTCTTTATTTAGGGGAACGTATAGAAATCATTAGGGCTTAGGTCGGGACTGTACGGCGGATAGTCTAATAATTCTATATTTTCTTGCTCTAAAAACTATTTTGTTCTGTGTGCGGTGTGAGAACTCGCATTGTCGTGATGGAGGATGATGCGGCGGTTGCAGTTCTCTTTACGGAGTTCAGAAACGACCTATGGCAAACAAATGCTAGCATACCATTCTGCATTAAAAGTTCTTTGTCCCTCAAGAGGAATAGTCGTAACATGGCCGGTTTTGGAAACAAACGTGGCCACCATTTTTTTTGCAACACTCCGTGAACGAACAATTTTTGTTGGCTTTAACTCATTTTCGAACATCCAAACTCGTGACTGGTTTTTTGTTTCGGGTTCGTACGCGTATATCTAGGATTCGTCACCTGATACGATGTTGTATACATCATTTGAGGATCCTGCGTGGAATCTTTCGAGAGTTCTGACGCACCAAGTAACGCGAGCCGCTTTTTGCTCTTCACAGAGCGAATGTGGTATCCATCGGGAAAACAACTTTTTTACACCTAATTGTTGATGCAAGATTATATGTATTTAACTTATGCCAATGTGTAAAGTTGTCTGAATTTCGCGGTATGTCACATGTCGATCTTCCTTAATCAGCTTACGCACAGCATCAACGTTTTCTTGGGTGACTGCAGTTTTTGGACGACCTTGGCGGAGATCGTCACTGAGCTTGACACATCCACGTTGAAATTCAGCAAACCAGCGATAAATTGTGGTTTTGGATAGGGCTTCATCACCAAATGCAGAAATCATCCGGTGAATACACTGTTTTTGTGTTAAACCACTTCGAAAGTCATAATAAATCATCGCTCTTGAATTTTCTAGAGTCAATTCCATTTTCTCAACGACTAAACAAGTTTGACAAAGCCTTGTGACAAGGCCGAGAATATTTTTTTAAATAAACAAATGGTATTCGATTTTAAAAACCAAGGTGTTTTCAATTAAAAATATTTAATATTACAGGAACAGTGGAAATATTCCATTCCCGATACTTTTAGTCTCATCACTGTCTACAGTGATAGGGTCAGAGGCTGTAGGGGATGAGTTTCTCATACTCCACTGCCTGGATGTGTAAGGGGTCGACTGGTTGAGAGCTAGGAGAGCATTGTGCGGCAATGCTGTCTGCAAAGCACTCAGCCTTTACCTCGTCTTCGAAGGCAACCGTACCGTCAGGGCGGGAGAGAGGCGGAGTGTGGGTGATAGCGTCTATGCGGAGGGCTCTAGCCATCTGATAGTACGCTATATGAGAGGGATATATATTCTCCATGAGCTTACTTTTTTCGAGGTCTCGAAGTTCGGAGAGACGGAAGCGGACTTCTCGTTTAAGACGATTGGCCGTACGCCTGTGTTCGGGGGTGGGATAGATTGCTGCTCTCCGGCAAGCAGCTCTCTTGGCTTTCATTAGGTTGCTAATATGTAGGGGAAGCCCATCATTTTTAGCAACCGGGACGACCATAGCTGAGTCCATAGCTGAGCTGAGTCCATAGCTTTAGCTAGGGACTCCTTGAAGCCCTTCCAGTTAGTGAAAGTTTTCGTGGAGGGTGTTGGGGGAGGTGGCTGATAGCCAAGAATGAGGGAGACCGGTCGGTGGTCGGATCCTAGATCGTCTAGAGGTTGAAGGAAACACCTTTGACTGGTGCAAAGTCTAGCACATCGGGAGCGTGGTCGGTGTTATCAGGATAGTGAGTAACACCGAAGGGACTGTGGACGGTAAGATCAAGAGACGTGCGTGATATCAAGCAGTTTCTTGCCACTATGGGAGGTAGCACGGCGTGCTCATTCAATATGCTTGGAGTTAAAATCTCCAAACATAATTACTGAATTGCCTAAAGATAAAATAGCCTCAAAATCTTTTTTGAGGGGAAGAGTTCCACTCGGGATGTAACAGGAGACTATGAAGATGGATTGATGTCCAGTTATAGCTAGCCTACATACCATGGCTTCCATGTTGGTCAGCTGCGGAGTAGAAATGTGAGAACAATGAAGTCTCTTCTCTGTATTCTCTCTGTTCTTGTAATAAATGGCCGTACCGCCGTCTTGGCGGTCGGGCCTGTCATTACGAAGAAGAGAAAAGTTTTGAATAGAAAGGCCTTTAAAATCGGCTTCGCGATCTCGAAGAAAGAGCTTAAGCTCTGGGAGGTTATTTCGCAAACCGCGAATATTAAAAGATACAAGCGATAAACGCTTAGGCTTGATACGACCGTGAGACTTTGGCAGAGCAGATTGCTCTGTCATTGTAGAGTTAAGTTAATGAACTTAGTTAAGTTAATAATATTTTGTGCTCATTGTAAGTTAAGTTAACTTAACTTACAATGAGCACAAAATGATGCTCTGCAAAAATGATGCTCTGCAAAAGCGAGGAGACGGTCCCGAGGGGACCGAGCAACATGCAATTTGCGTGCTAAGACAGCGATCTCCCCAATGTCGATGTTCCTTATAGCGAAGTAAACCGTATTAAGGTTATCCAACCATTGAGGGCTGAGACTGTTGAGGGGCGGAGGGTGTCCACGGTGTGTCGGCCTTTTTGGGGCCCCAGGGGAAGACTGTTGGCTGCGAAGGCTGTGAGAAGCCCGGAGGGGGCCGAAGAGGGACCTGAGGGGATCTAGGGGGACCCTGAGAGGGTCGAGGGGGGCCCTGAAGGGGCTGAGAAAGGCCCTGACAGGGCGTTCTTGGGTAGAGGACCGGGAATGACCTGTCATTGACCAACGGTGGAGCTTGCCTACTGGGACGAGGATGAGGTGCACAAGGGCAGCCTCTATAATTTCGAGGGTGGCCTGTTTGCTGGCACTGGACGCACGCGGGTGGGGATTCGGCGTTTTGGGGCCGAGGACACTCTTTCGAGTTGTGAGCATCGAGGCACTTAACGCACCTGGGTGGGGCGGAACAGTAGGCCGCCGCGTGACCATCGAGTTGGCAGCAGTGGCAGTGCGCTGGGAAACCGCGCCTATGTGGGGGCTCAACCCTCACTCTCGACAGGCCGCAGACTGTGCGTACCTGCTGGAAGATGGCTTTTGCCTCCAGCACGTTTGTTAAGATTACAAGGGCAAGCGGGAACCTCTTGCCCTTGCTGCTGTGCATTTTGTGGACGGCCTCAACGGGGAATTCTTGGGACTTAAGGTCTTCAAGGATGTCCTCGTTGGTGAGTTCAAACGGGACGCCGCGGATAACGGCCCTCACTTTTCAGAAAGAGCGTACGTGTGGTAGGACACACGTTCGAAAGTAAATAGCCTTGTAAGGCGGCGAAAGTGGACAATCGACTAACATACGGGGACGATAGTGCAAGCGGAATCGCCGAGTGGTAGTTCGGAGCTGTTCTATATATACTGCTTTAACTTCGAAACTTTGTTAGCGCGATTTA